CGTAAAAAGACAGTATAAGTCATTATAATCTATAATTATGTCCCCACTGGATGCAACGAATGTCTCGTTTATAATTGGTTTTCATGTTCTCCGGCCTGACAGGGCATCATCACAATATGGTAAGGGGTGTAACATTTCCGTCACACGCTTGAGGTATTCGGCCAATCATAACGCACTGGATAGCTGGCCAATCACAGCACACCTCGCTTTTCAGAACGATGAGCTTTGTAAAAATCGACGCGTTTCAGAAAGGCGGGGCATAGAGGAGAAACAATAATGTACAGTATGTGGAAAATAATGTGTTTTTTAACCTTAAACCGCATAAACACATTTCATTACATCAAATGCACAAAATAATGTTCTTTTTAGCAACATCATATGACCCCTTTAACATGACTTTGTTACTGTCATATCTCAACAACATGAAATTATTAGTTTTAGTTACTCACTTTGTAGTTATACAGAATTGTCTTCATTATTTCAGCATATTGTATTTTAATTTTCATGCTTCCTGTCCCATGCATTTTTATTTCATTTTATATTTTTTTTGTTTTGTTTTTGTTTTTTTGTTTTTCTCAGGCATCACATCCCATGCAATTTTATTTTTTCTAACATAACTTTGTTACTCACTATCATTTTACATTCTTCATAATTTATTTAAATGTTCATATATTTTTTTTTTTTTATCACTTCTTATGTGTTTTTTAACATGATTTTCAGTGCTACTCATTTTTTGTTTTACATTCTTTGTAGTTTGTGTATTTTATTATTCATTTTTATTTTATTTTATTTTCAGTACAAATATGGTCTCCAGTATACTGGACTTCCCAAATTATTATACACATTAAGACAAAAATTTTAATTTTTATGGTTTCATGCTCTAAGCCATGAATGCTTTGCACAAAACACATTGCGGTTGACACAAACCATGTTTATTGCAAGTGAACATGTATTTAATGTAATCTAGGTTGTATTTTCTTTTATCTTGCATAGTTTTGTTCATGGTTTTCAGCTTCTACCATATACGACAGGTAAAATACTACTATATTACCATTTTCAATGCAAAGGAGACATGTGCATACAGTATGATTATTTAAACCCATATAGAAGTGATGTGTGCACACACCTCTTACATTGCAAAGCAGAATTAGTCACTTTGATGAGCGGTTACTCATCATAACCGTAACCAGGGAGGTCAGAAATAATGAGGTTCTGGTGCTGGAATTTGAGAACGGTGAAAATGAGGGACTATTAGCTACTCATGATTCTGGAAACGCCTGCTTAGCAAGAGTAGGCGCACTCGGATTTCAACCAAATGGAGCTTCAATAATGCCAAAACAAATGGCGTGGTGATGTTTTGGCAGCTACTGTTTGTTTCATTTGTGTTTTTCTCCTCCTCAGATTCTGGCCGGCGAGGTGATGGTGTTTTTCATGAGGTCGGAGGGCACGCAGGAGAAGACCATAGTCACAGCCGACTGCTGTTACTTCAACCCTCTGCTCAGACGCATCATACGCTTCCTAGGTACTTCAGCATTCACTGAAGAGGATGATGGGAATTATGTCATAAGGAACTAAAAATGAGAGCCAGTGTCTCTAAAGCACAGAGAACTACATTTAAAGAAAACATTTTTGTTTATGATCCATTTTCATGCTACAAACTCTGATATTAAAGACATCATAGGCAGTTTGTGATTAATGGGTAGTTTTTTTTATCAGGATTTTAAGTTAAAATGTAAGGGAATGTAAGTGGATGTACAGTCATGGCCAAAAATATCGGCACCCTTGGTAAATATGATCAAAGAAGGCTGTGAAAATTAATCTGCATTGTTAATCCTTTTGATCTTTTATTTAACAAATTCACAAAAATCTAACCTTTCATAGGATAATAAGAATTTAAAATGGGGGGAAATATCATTATGAAAAATGTTTTTCTCTAATACACATTGGCCACAATTAACGGCACCCTTTTATTCAATGCTTTTTGAAACCTCCATTTGCCAGTTTAACAGCTCTAAATTTTCTCCTATAATGCCTGATGAGGTTAGAGAACACCTGACAAGAGATCAGAGACCATTCCTTAATCCAGAATCACTCCAGACCCTTCAGATTCCCAGCTCCATGATGGTGCTTCTCCTCTTCAGTTCACCACACTCATTTTCTATAGGGTTCAGGTCAGGGAACTGGAATGGCCATAACAGAAGCTTGGTTTTGTGCTCAGTGACCCATTTTTGTGGTGTTTTTGAGGTTTGTTTTTGGATTATTGTCCGGTTGGAAGATCCAAACATGGCCCATTATAAGGTTTCTAACAGAGTCAGTCACTTATTGATTTTTTTTATCTGTTGGTATTTGATAGAATCAAAGATGCCATGTATCTAAACAAGATGTCCAGGACCTCCAGCA